GCTTTTCTACCACCCTCACACACAGAGATGGATGAACGATGCACAGCACACTCACGCAGGGCGCAGTAGCGACCAACTTGTACGTAGCCATCGCAACACCTGGTCCCCTGCTCCGTCACTGTCTTATACTCAGTCTGATGCATCAGCCTGTAAAGTGTGACTTCACACGTCTTCCAGAGGAGCCAGCCTCCACAGGGCTTCGACACCATGTAGGGGACCTTGTGCACCACCAGGAAGCTCACAACCCTCGTTTCATTGTGAGCACAGAGATGATAGCCGGACGGAGAAAGGCTAATACCTGGAATTAAATACATCACTTTAACTTCATAGTTAGTCCCTGGTTAAATAATAACAACATCAGATTTTGCATTTTAAAGCAATCCTCCTTCACTTAACATAAATGTGTGCAATCAGTGACAGCAGTTATGTTAAAAACCAGCTCTGACAACTGAAACACAAATAGAAATAAATGACATGTTCTGTTTTGGCAACGCGTCAGTTCAGTGTGACTCCGTCGTCAGCGTGGAGGCCTACCTTCATGTGCAGCGCTCTGTCCCTCGCAGAGAAGCAGCAGGGCCGCAGCCACCCAGATGGAGAGCAGCCAACTCATCTTCATAGATCAGAATCCCAGCCGTACACTTCACCACCACATTGTACCTGCATGCTTCACTTTGAGGTGATGCTAACTGAGTGTTCAGGTGTATTCAAAGACCACATCCTCTGTGGCTTTGTGTTTCTCCGCCCCTCTTTGCACCATCCGTCCCTAATGGACGACAAAATCATGGCAGGCAGCAGGCAAGTGTTAAATACATGTTAAGAATTGTGAATGTACCAAAATGACATTCATTTTTTAGTTGCGAAAGAAATATTATGACAAATCATGTGTTTGATAATTTATACAGTTACAACAAGTGGCAGCAGGACAAGCTGCCAGTCGGTTCATTACAAAGAGAAAAGTCTTTGCTTCGTATGATTTTCACAAAGAAGACCAGGCTGCAGTTTTATTTCTGTAAAAATAAACAAGTTGTCCTTTCACTCGTTCTTTGGCAGTGTCAGTAAACATGTTTGTGATGCCGGGGGAGAGAGATGTGGGATGGGAGGAGTCCGAGTCCCTAATGACTCGGTTTCCACACAGGTAACCATGGCAGTGCCTGCAATGCTGCCGCCGCTCACAGCCAACTGTGTCCGCCATTAATGTCAAGCAAGGAGGAGTGAGAACTTCCCTGCCATTTTCCCGCATGTCTTCATTCTCATTATATGAAGGAACAGCAGGATGCCTTGGCTGTCCAAGATATGTTCTATAAAAAGCCCACATGGAGACTGTGTGATCGCGTGGTAATTATAAATGAAGACACGTTCACGACTGATGAGAGAAAATCCTACAAGTCCTCACCATTCTTTTATATCTTTCCATGCGTGTTTCTTAATTCGTCGTGATTAATATGATGGAGCTTCTGTGATAGTAATGAGGTGTGAAAATGGACCTGATTAATCTTCCTTCGGTCATTAACGATAATGACTGGGTGCATGTTGACACGCTGGTGCATGTGGCTGCAAAGATGTGCGAGGAGTCAGCCGAGGTCACCGAACACACCACAAGCTCCATAGAAAGCTTTGTGGATGCTAAATTTCTTGCTTTTAATGAAACTGAAGATCATGAGATGTGGTGTGGTTGTGCCTTCACTGCCGCCTGACTGGGTTCATACAGCTGTTGCCAGGTACTGCAGCTGACACGACGTTCACGAAGAGGCCAAATGCGTTCGACAACTCCCCACTGGACGCCAGTAATGACACAAATCTGCTGCTGGGCTATAGTGGCTTTCTCTCAGTCAAGCACCTAATTAGTTTCACTGGGGTTAGAGGGGCGTGCAGTTACATGTACAATATATGTGCACGGTTTAAACCTACTACAGACAAGTCCTACGTGGTATAGCCATGAGCTGGTTCCCTTCTGGATCACATCGAGGCTTCTTCAGAGAATCTTTGCATTTGGTTTCACAGTAATTAAAATTTTAAGCAGCACACCACAAAGCTTATACCGTCATGTTTTTTTATCATCATGGAAATATTTCAAACATATAGCAGCCTTTTACCTACCTGAATTAAACATCTATAGAATAAAA